TTCTCCTAACTCTATTATTTTCTGATACTTTAATAAATATTGAAGTAAGTTGGAACATTTTCGTTAATTTTCTATTTTCTTAGAGATTAAATTATTTTATTAATTCTTATTTTGTAGCATATTATTTGTCTTTTGTCGCTGTACCTTCTTATTTTACTTTGCATATTACGAGCTTTATATTTACTTTAATTATAATATTTATATTTCTTATACATTGATGTTATAAGGTGCTTTCATCATTTTCCAACAAAATTAAATGTGATATGGTTAAATGTTTCTCATATATACATATAATCGATAAAGAGCTCTGCTGCATTTATTATTATCGCGACATTACTTTTCAAGTGACAGCCTTATACATTATTCGCGACGCTCTTGCAAACAGCCGCAAGTGCGTTGTGCCAAATGACGGATCTCTCCGTGATGTTATCGCTCTCTATTTCAGAATTAACGAACGTGTTTTGATTCAGGTGGTGAAAAAGAGGAAAGAGCGAGTGATGGGCGCGTATAGAATATAGACGGTGCGCGAACGACAAAAGTGAAGCGTTCGCCAAAGCGGAACACGCTCGCGAAACGAATCGGATCACCCTATTCATCGGCTCAGCATTGACGAAAATCGAAACGGCCGCCCCTTTCAGAATTTATATACACCCTCTGTGTCACCAGTGTGCGTGCGCGCGTATACCGACCCAATTTTTTTTTTACGCGACGTCGGCAGACGCTTTATTTTTTCACAGCCACCGCTGCTTTATGAATAAAAAGCGTACTTTTGTCCATGAATACCTCTGTGTATTTCCTGCTAAAATATTTTTCAATCACGAGTGCAATTTTACGCATTCTCCGTGACGCAGTTTATACAAATAGCAGTCTAATCGGTCTGTCGTCACGCATCGAAAATTAAAAAATCGTCGTCCCTTCATCGCATCGTGTTGTATACTATGCATACCGATGGCGTGGTGGCCAAAGTAAATGCGATGACAAAAGCGAAATTGCAATTGTAATTTGAGAATAAAAACGGTTCGTTAAGTTGATTTCGATAGAAATATGTAATCAAAGCTTGCGCGATGAAGTCAAAAATATATTCATAGTTATGCAGATTATTCATAAGGATCAAGGTATTACGTTATCATTTTCGATCATATCATATTTTTTTATGTCCACTTAATTACAATCAGAGAATTAAGTTTTTCGCTTGTGATGATCGAACGGTTAAGGTCGTATAACACTGTTTTATTCACCAAAATTCTCTCGCTGCGGAATCTCGGCAAAAAATAAACTATTATGCCGCACAGTTTCGACGAATGTGTCCGTTTGCGGCATGCGATTTCGATTTAAGCTCTTTGTACCGCGCGGTCGCGGTGTTTTATTTCACCGAAACACTGGTTTATCAGAGCGAAACTTCGCGCGCGACGGTAACGTAAAGTTCGAGTCCGAAATCAAATCCCGCACGTTGTTATGGCGCACTCGGTAGCCGTTAGCACACCGATACGGCTTCATTTGCACTCGGTAGCAACACGCGAACCGCAGTAAAATTTTTTTTATGGTCACGGCGGGAGCAAAAGGCGGAAGTAACTTTTTGGCGGCTCAAATTAACCAGCGTAACTGCGGGCACGACAATTACCACCCGATGGCTCGGCCGTCCGTTAATACCCCTTTTTCCCCACGCCGCCCACCCCCAGCGCAGCATTAATCACGAAAAACAGTTTCGGACTTCCCGTGCCTGGCCGCGCCGATGCCGCGCTCTCGATGCTGATGATGTTCCCAAAATCAAGAGCCTTTATAAACAATAAATCTGACCAGTCCGCACTGGTGGCCAAGTATACGCGAGCTCGCGAATGAAATGCGCGTGCTAATCAACCGTTGTATGTGCGAGCAAGAGAAATTGTCGGATGGAAACTGAATTGTAAATTGCAAAAGAACGGTTTGAACGTACCAAAAAAAAAAAATCCTGATAATAAAGAATAATAATAAATTTACAAATAAATTAAAAACGGATAACGTAGTTTGAAATTTGAAAAAAAGAAGCAATCTATTTAATTGTCTCAATCATACGTTTTAATTAACAGTTATTTGCAAGGTAGAATTTTCTAGAAAAACTTATATATGTTGGAAATACTAGAGAACGATATTTGTAAAAGTCAAATTTTAATACTATACGAGTATGAAACACCTTTATCATGCATCGGAACGTCGAAGAACCAGAGTTTGCGTTCACAACTCAAATCCAAAATCCTCCTTGGTTTATAAACTTTGTTTATTATAACAACTGCATCACGTGTTGCTATTTTATGGAAAATTTCTCATACAATCGACTCTGAGCTTTGCGTCAACTACATGCAACATATTCGACCACAAAATGTGCGAACCACGTTTCAGCTTTCAAATAAGTCGATCGACTTAAGGCACATGATGCAATGCGTATTTTGTGAGACACAGATAGGTTCGTTATTTAGAATGTCGTAAGAATACCGTATTTTGTTACAAAGATGATAAAGCTTAATGCGAAATCAATTTCTTTTTGCGCGGCATTTTCCTAGAGTTATATAGATATTTCCTGGGGACTGCGCTGTATCGTCATAACCGTAAATATCTGCTGGCGTTCATAATTCTAAGAAAGTTATGTCGCGCCTTAGTAATTGAAAAAGGGAGAGAGGGGAATATTAATGGCGCAACATTGCGCGCGTTAATCGTTCCGGGCCGTCGAGCTACGAATGCGAGATCTATTTTTACGTTAATCACGGTCGCTAACGAGAGGAACAAATTTAATCATCGTCAGTTCCCATCGGACTGAAACGGGACTCGCTTTACTTACAGGAAGAAACGTATTTCCGCGGGTAAAATGGGATGTATGAAAAATGATTGCGCAGCGGAATGATCCCACGCGGTGGCGGTGGCGCGGCGGTGCGGCTGAAACCGCGTGCGCGCGCGAACTTTAGCTTTTAACTAAACGCGGTGGATAATTAGAAGAAAGAAAGTGGCCGACGTGAAGTCGGACGTGAAAGCACGCGCCCGGAGTCGGATAATAAATTGAGTTTTACCGGAGGGATCGGTTTCATTAAAGCACGATAATTCTCGTCAGTATAGAACAGCCGCGGCAGTTTCCGCGGAAATAAATAACGGCGGTATAGTGCAGGTGCGCCACTGTCAGACCTGTCGCGGATTAATGGCGTGCCGCGCTATTGCGCCGCTAGACTACTATAATACGTCGGGCGTCCTTACGGAGGGACTGCGCCTTTAAAAAGAGGTCGCGAACACCGGCATCGACGCGACTACATCATGTACCTTCTCCTTAAGGTGGCAGAGAGGCAATCAAAATACGTAACGTATTACACGGGTGGACTATGATACTGCAAATATGTACTACAAAGGCTAATACCGATAAATGATGCTTCCCCGCATACCATTTGTCAGGATTACAGAGATGTAGACCGAGAAGAAAGGAACGTCCTCGAGAAAGGGAGCCAGTGAGACGGACGAAGGAAAGAGAGGAGTATTCGCAATGATATTTTAACTAAAAATATTTTTAAAATACTTTTCACGTCTATGAGAGAAGTCAAGTATAATATATTTCTTTTATTTAGAGAGAATCTGGTCACACATAGTCTTTCAAAAGATAAATATAGCGGAAAAATGGCATATCTATTACAGAATATATAGAATTATGTAAAATTTTCGTAATTTTATATGGAAAGAACGATTTTATTGAAGTATCTATAAAAATTGGCTAGATACAGATCTAAAAATGTTGGATCATGAAAATAATTATGTGGAACGATCAAACTGGTTGCCAAAATGTCAACATTTTTTACAATATTGCTCGTTAAGTTGAAGATTCGTACGAAATTATTTGGATGGTCAAACAAAATTATTTTCAAATTTATATCTAGATAAATTTTTAATTCTACAAAATCTGTTTTTTTTGTTTCTGTACTCTGCAATACAGAATCAAATATTACTGCCAAATTGGATCATATGACTAAACTCTTACTCGAGAGCCTCTAGTTTTACCATTGAATATTCCAATCGAAGAGGTTCGGTAACGAGGTTGACACATAGGACAAAAATTAAAATTACAGAAAAAAATTTTAAGAGAAAGATCTAATCTTTACGGATCTTTCCTTCTCCCGGTGGTAGTAATAATACATTTGATGTGTAAGCTGAAGGAAGACGACTGTATTTTACCAAGTTGCTTTTGATTTCAAAAGCTCCCGTCTGTCGCGCGCTTGATGCACCATGAAAGAAGATTGCAATAAGAATAAAACGCCATTCCACTCCAAGTGCAGCGCCAAAATAATTCTTTATGCGGCGAGAGAAGGCCGCCAGGAAGAAAAATAAGCTAAAACGAGGTGGCGTTCTTGAATGCGGCCTTCCGGCGTGATTTTTGCGATTGTAATTTTCCAATTACATCGCCCGGGAATTCCGTCTGCCGGAGTGGCTCTCCTTTTACAAACGTCCCAAGTGTAGCAATCTGATTTTTCCGCGAACTCCACGAAAGGTCGAAAGGAGTTCCTCCGAATAAACTAATTTACGTAAGAGAATTAAAAAATGTCGCACGCGCTCGAAGGGAAGCGATAAAAACGCTGATTTTCCCATGACTTCATTCTCATTATTTTAAGTTCCATTCGCCGGCAAACTTCACGTTTGTCCGATATCTGATATCACGACAATTCCCAGCTTCTGGACTAGTAGAGAGCAGAAGTGCGCCGTGCGCGCAAACGTATCATCCGGTATGTACGTCCGTCAGAAATATACATCGCGGACTCTCGCGGCGCCCCCGATATCGATTTCAGATTTCAATTTAATGCCGTCGCGATATCTCAGGCACGATCTTCCAATACCAATTTCGTGTTATCGGACTTTTCGTGACGTGCTGCCGAGCTTCTCCGCGCGGGACAATTCTCGTACGCGGCGACTCGCGCGACCAGGGTATACCTTCCCCTCGTGAGCGTCATGAATATTCCTCGGCGTTAACTACATTGACATTTCTATTCGTTTTCCAGTACCACCGCGCAAGATCACGATCGTCGACGAGAACGAGAAACGACGGGACACGATGGTCGGACCGTATATGGAAGGCGCTAACCTAAGGCTCTTCTGCGACGTCCATGGCGGTGAGTATCATAAATCTAAACGCACGTATATAACGATGGAATCCTTTTTACGAAAACCTCGAAAAAACTGTATGATTTTTTTCTGTTCCGCAATGCGGGTTTTGTGCTCTACAGTCGATTGACAAAAAGAGTGAGATATAGAAGGACATTCTATATATGGTCGAGACATAATTTTGTTTAGTAATCTGTGCGAATTTATTCCTACATGTAAATGAATATATAAATGGAAGTTTTGATTTTTTATACTAAAGAGAGAGCAATATTGCAATAATTATTATTGTTACTTTTGATTCTGGCATTGTATTATATCGCTATTACTTGTTAATTGACTCATAAGACCTCTTGGAATATGTATAACGTAATATATATTAATTACATGCATTAACATCTATTTATTCTATAAATGATAGCTATTAATTATGAATAATATTATGTGAATAAATATTCGTATGCTACAAAACGTTGGTGCATAAATACTTGCAAATGAATAATATTTATATATATATTAATAGTATTTGTACAGCGCATAGTTATAATGTTTATATTTATATTAATCAACGATTAATATTATCAAAATAATATTTTGCATTATTATAAAATTCTTATGCTTTCCGCTATTAATAACTTTATTTCTGTCAATTTGTAGATTTATGAGATATTTAACAATTTCGAAATTATTCATTATAAACTGAATAAATTATAATATCTTTTTAAAATATTTTATTGTTATTCTACAAAGCCGTAAAACTAGATAGGTATCGTTATTTATTAATATGTTCCGTGCCGAGCCAATTTCAGTATTTTCATCATTATTCATCACACCGAATGATGAATCTAAATGCAAACAAGAATATTGTGGATAATTTCTGATATTTTTATTTGAATTTGTTAATTTGTTAAATATATATATGTATATATATGTATATTTACTATAACATATTTTATATGATTGTATATGTGTATAATATAATGATTTAAAGAATTACAAAAATTTTTATTATAAAGAAATATTATAAAGGTTTATAATAACTATATATATAATATTGTGTATCATAATTAGACATATCAAAAATAATTTTATAAAATGACTTTTCTTTTTACGATTAAAATATCAAACAGTTTAAACGCGCAAAGTCCAACGTGTGTCACAGATGATCCATGCAGCACGGAACGCGTTAAGCGGTTTAAGGGGATCCTAAAGCAAAGTTCGAACTCTAACGAAATCGCCAGATGTCGATGTTTTACAACACATCGACATATCTTTTACATACTACCACATTAATATCTCACGCAGACAATGATGCACGCAGTCGCATTGTCTGTCAATTTTCGTATCGTAAATTCGTCGCGATAACGTGTCTAAGTTTAATTCTAAGCACTCGACGCTGTTTCTTCACGCAAACTACTTGCCTGTCGACTACTATTTCTTAAATACAGATTGCGCAGCTTTTTTATATGAAACAAATGTTGTTACGACGTGCAACGACGTGACAGCTCTGGAGTGCTATATTGGACTAAAAAATGGTAAAGAAGAACTCAATTTTTTATCATTTTCAGCATAGATTCTACCTCACGGGCACGTATTAATGCGTATACTTTAATCCTGTAAAAGGATTTTCGAATCAGTGAATGGCAAAAAAAGTATTTACGATACAAAAATTAAATGGTTTAATCAGTAATACAGATGACTTTAGGATCTCCTTAAGGATCAGATTCTTTAAGCGCTGACAGCAATACATAGTTGATCAACGAAATAAAAGAAATTAGGAATTAAATACATAAAATAAAGATAATAAGAAAGTTGATCGCTTAAATTACAAAAAGACTACATATATAGGTATATTTATACATTAATCAATCTATTAATTAATCTAAACATTAGAATATCTTTAATAATATTAATTACTGATCTTTGTTAACATGTTGTATACAGTTTTCATCGATTACACATTACACAAATTGTTACATTAAGTAATTATTCAGATGCACTATACAATACGGATATAGTTGCGATAAATAATTCGAGAGTGTTCGTGACCGTCGCGCCGCCGATAATATTGAAATTGATTGTTTAATAACACTATCTGTGCTAGTTCATAATGAAAGACCGATTCCATTTATGCTATGTTAACTCTCTTTGCTAATTACAGACTGTAATTATTGCCCTTCATTATTATCGTGCTTTTGAATGAAGTCTCGAGTGGTACTCGATACTTGTACCATTAAATTTATACGTCGCGGTAGTTATGATTTTATCGAATGAGCGAAATCATCGACTCTCCGTTAAACATCTCCTACGCTCCTATTGCTCCGTAAAAGCTTTCGGCATGCGAAGCATCGCATTTCGCCAATCCCAGGGTTAAAGGGATACTGGAATCGTCTGTAAAGCCAACGAAACGCGCATCTCATACTTTTTTATTTTCTTCATTTTCCTCTTCTATAGAATAAAAAATCCTTTTCTATAAATAGAAAAAGGGTTAATAAAAGAAAAAACGCAAATAACGTGGAAAAGTACAAACCTATATGAAAAATAAAAAAAGATGTAAATTACGGTTTTTTGTTATTACATAGGTTATATTTTTTTATGTATATAAATAATATTATATATAAATAATGATTTTAAGTATATATTCAAATATAAAAAGTATATATTCAAATATAAAAAGTAGTCCATACATATTTAAAAAATTTATATAAGAATATACAATATGTATAATAAGACCTTCAACAATTTTGAAGCTTATCAGAGAAGCGAATGAAAAAGTACGATCTGAGTATACAACCTATAATTTTCATAACATAATCCTGTATATTAGAACAAGAAATATTTGTAATGTTTTAACATATGTAATGTTTGATTTAAAATTAAAAATCTATCTTGTCGATATAGATCAAGTTTGATCGTTGCTCCGACATCATCTTAATTTTTTTTTTTCACCAACTCGACAGACAACGAACTAAAACAAGATCATTCTGTTTCGCAGGTAAACCGGCCCCAATGGTGTCTTGGTATCGCAACGACAGATTCATCACCAATCGGACCACAACGCCGAGCAGCGGTGTGACACGCAGCGAGATCGTTTTACAGAACTTAAGTCGGGACGACGTCCACTCGGTGCTGACCTGCAACGCCACGAATAACAATAGGTCGATTCCGCTGTCGTCGTCAGTCCATGTGGATATGCGTTGTAAGTATTCCATGCACATTACGACACCAATAAAAATTCGCTCTTTCGGCTCGCTCAACCGCGACCGTCAATGAATACGCGAAATTCATACCGCGCCGGACACGTTTTATCGACGTTTTTAATTTGCGCGATATATGATAATTACAGCGTGCAATTACTCGCGAGCAACGATAATAATGACGTATCGTTACGAGGCGTGATTATGGCAAAAACTACGCTTTAAAATATTCATGAGAATACTCGATCAATTTTCGTCCGCGTGGACGCGGATCCTGCGCGAGAATTCGACAGTTTCCAAATGTCTTTCTATTGAATTTAATCGTCTTATGGCGACAATGACATAGATACGCGAACTTAGATAGATGAACTCTCGATCCTTTAATAGGATAGAAACTGAGCGTGTGTTCGAAGGACATGTAATCCCGGGCACTCGGTGCGATATTGCATTTGCCTTCACTTACTACTAAAGAGGATTCGTCGAAAGCCTCGAACTGTATTATACACCATCGCGCTATTGACAAACCGTCCGGAACTATCGTGAGATGTTTATCGGGATAATAGAAAATCCGATGGCCATTTTTCTAAACCCGTTTGTGAATCGACGACGAGCTGCCGAAAGGAAGGAAGAGAAAGAGAGAAACGAGAGAATTCTCGTCGATATAGAGACGAGATATTCGGTCGCTCGGTCGGAGTTCGTCGGCTTGCATTGAGAGAATATAGTCCATCCGAGCTTTAGTCATAAAATAGTGGTTTCTCGCTCGCACTCCCATCGATTGTCCGTCCTTTAATAAAATATACTTGATAGACGGTTATAACAATAATCGCGCACGCCTTGTATTAAAAGTCAAATCCATTTCATTTACGATTGCGCAATTTAATTTCTCATTATCTGTATGCGCATGATGCATTTTCCGAAATTAGTCGATTAATTAGTACGAATAAACGATAATTATTTTCAACTGTACGACCACTGATTATAAAGTGATGTTAGATATTAATAAGATTCGTTTAATTTCATCTTGTTTTTTTCATGTGTGGTTTATGTAAAATCATTCCAAATTGATTTAAGCGTGTGAGAATTTATATCAATTTGGGGTGCTTTGTATACTTAGCGGACGAAAGTCAATACAGCGCATCAGAATAAATAACAAAATAAATACCGAATACTTTTTCGGATCACGAGACCACCATAATAACGTTTGCAACATGGATATCTAAAGCACATACACAGCTATGTCAAACATCTAGATCAATACCGCCGGTGTATTGATATAGATGTTTGACATCCATACCGATGTCAAATATCCATGCTAATACAAGACAATCTCAATACATAGATGTAGAATAACCAATGTGGTCCTACTGTTTACAAGTTCTAGGAAGAAGGTTTGTACGCGATCGTGATTGTTACACGGTTAATGCGCTTCTTTCCCACATATCTTTTGTCAGACGCAGTAAATAGAAGTATAGAAAATACGCTGATTAATAATTTAATCTCCAAGACCTTATCTGACAGTTATCTATCGAGGGCACGTTCGGCAAGCCAATAAATATCAATACATCCCTTCGCACCGTCTCGTCAGTCCTCGTAACTCCTACGGCTGGAACGTCGGCACGTAGTAGAGACCAGGGCGCGACGCATCGGTGATGGAGATGAGATGATCGCGCGGTTCTCGCCGCAGCATGGAATCAGGATGTACGACAGAATTTACGGGCGATACGGTCCGGAGAACGTAGTCCGGGGCTGTTCTCCAGGGGGTGCCTTTGCATTCTTTACGAGATCGGACCCGGACGCCCGTAGCAGCGATGCGTAAATGGCGCGCCGATGGGAAAAAGAGAAAGGGAAGAGGGAGAGGACGTTGGGGACGAGGGTGCGAATTCGCCATTAAAGGGTGAATAACGTCCGGGTGAGCGTGGTGCGTCTTCCTGCGCGGCGTGGAATTCGATTATCTCGGACGTGATTTAAAATTTTCCCGATAGCACGACGCGACGGGGGCCGTCGCTACACTGCCGACCCCCGCAAATTCCGACTACATTATTTTCTTTTTCTTACGTCCAGAGATAAAGGTGAACGTCACGTACGGCTTTACTTTCGCTTCGATTCCTTTGGAAACCCGTCGCCGCCGCGGAGAAAGTAGATTATCGCGAATCTTCTATGTTCGATCGTGTTTATGGATGCGACAAGAAGCGTTGATACTGTTTTCGAGACGCGAAGAGTAAAATATACAACGGAATAACATTTTTAAATCTTCAAAAATACACAACGCTTTGTAAACGCTGGTTTAACTCCAAATTAATGATGCGACGAGAAACTGAGAAACTGTTTGAATAATATTAAATATTGCGCTGTTTTGAGAGTATAAAATGTTTCTAGTAAACAGAATGTTTTTTAAATAATAATATTACGTTACATGATTGCATGTACGTAATTGCATTGTTTCTACATACGCTTTAAATACATGATTGTTTTGAATACCATTTTTTAAGCTATTTTTTATTTAAAAAGTTATGGAGATATTTTCAAAACCGTTTTTCAAACCGACTAATTTACGGCTTGATTGGTCTACATCCGGTAATATTGGAAATATAATTATCATGGATAAACTTTATATTTCATTGTTTTTATACGATTATTTAATTTAATATAATTATTTTATTATACTTTTATGTAATCATTCAGACACGTAATTTGATGCATGCACACAAAGTGCACAATACGCATAGCGCACAAAGTACTTAAATTAACCGGTGTATAATAAGACAAATATTGTAAAGAATACTTTCTCTCTCTCAAGGAAAAATGAAGTAACTAAAAGTTGCCGTAAACGTGTCGTAGGTAAATGCATCGTTTACGGGAAAATAAAGCTCGCATTAAATACACTTCAATTGTAAAGTCAACGAAAAAGTAGAAGCGCCAAGTCTTCGTGAATTTCTTATGGGTAGTGTAAAGTAAACATTAGAAAAACCCGAGAAAATCTTCATTAAAGAATACGTAGAGAAACGTTCAGCCGCAATTAAAAAGCAATGGGACGAGGGACAATGGAACCTTTTCTGGCTTCGATTCGAATCAGCTAATCCAAATATAATAAGAGAAAACTTTTGCAACTGTTTGTAATTAAATGTGCACATACGCGATATTTTTATTAGCTAATTGATTTTTTACCAGTTTCTAAAAGAGGAAGATATATGCGTTGTACATTTTCTAATAAGATTAAAAAATTTCTGTATTTTTAAAAAAAATGTGTTTATTTAATATCTTCTGCATGTACCTTTAATTTTTAAAGATAATGTAACGATGTTGATCAGACGAAAGTGTCAGTGATATAATGCAAACTTTTACGTTCTTTTTAGAATATTGCGGTATAAATATTTTGTGCGTAAATAGTTAAACTTTTATTTAGAATAATTTTTGCTATATTATAGCATAAATTAGATTCAGAAAATAATTATTGTAAAGTAAGAAAATATTAAAAAATCGATTATCAGTATTTTTTTTAATTTACAAGTGAAAGAAAGAAAATCTAAACAAATGTAATAAATATATTCGAAAAAATGTTATTTTATGCGATAAAATAATGAATGCGTCGTAATATATTTTTAGATCAATGATTATTTTTGACGAAGATCGTAGGTGAAAGCGCGGTGTGAAAGTCAATCAGAATAAAATCGGTTAAACATGCGATGTTACCTAATAGCAAATTATTCGAGATAACGCGAAATTATCGGTTCGGCGATTGTATGTTCGGCAAAAAAGACACGGAGATTAGATCCCATTAGCATACGCGAATTGGATCGGCAAAGCCGTCGTTCTCAGTTTAATCGATTTTTATCAGGTATTGTTATACGCGATGCCCGCCCTTCGAGAACGATTCGAGAACGAGGTAACACGAAACGGGGAACGTTTGCCACGATCTCAAACTGATTTGAATTTTCTCTTTTCTCATTTAACGATCTATTTAACAGAAAACTGGTTTTTATAGCGAAAAACATTTTTAAAAAACATTTTTTTGCTTAAGAACAAATGTAAGTAATGAATTCCAAATTGAAATCTTAGAAAGTGAACGACAAAAATTCAAATATTTCTTTTTATCTCTGATATAATTTTATATTTATTTTTTTTTTTTTCATTTATCAAGTATAGATACTTTTAAAGAAATGACTTTTAGTTGATCTAATTTAAAACTAAATGTCTGTAAAGAATAATATAATTGACTATATATGCCTCAATTTTTCTTTATTTTTTTTATTTACAGAAGGTTTGATCGATTAGAGTCCTATATTTTTCCCGACGAAACGTTGGATATCTATTATAAATATTGATTTATCCATAACTGTAACAATATTTTGAAATGGTCGAGTGCTACAAATAACCTAGATCTAACAATTTTTTTATCTGTAATAAGAAATTATTTAGCTGAATTAAATTAATGCAGAGTATGTAATAAGGGATGACGCAGTTAATTATGTATATTTTTTCGATACTTTTATTGCGTATAAAAAATTTGATTGATTAGAGTACATTTTTAGGATAAAAATATAAATATCGTTTATTTTTAAAATACATATTGGTTCACGCATCACTGTAATAACATCCTAAAATGGTCGAGTATCACGAACGACACTTTTGTCGGGGGTGTTTAAGGAGAACCGAGGAAAGAGCCAAAGAAGCGTTCTCGAGGCCGGATACCACGTGGCGTTCACTCCTTTGCAAACGGGTCTTTGACGATGGAAACTTTCGCACTCGATACGCGGCGCTCGGTAACACGGATTTCCCGATAATAAATCTCCTTTTCACAAAGCGCAATCCCTTTCAATATGCTAAGAGCGGCGCAGAGAGCGTTAGCATCTCGGGCCATCTTTTTCGGCTGATCTTGGCAAGTGTTCGCACGCTCTGTATGTAACGCCGTGCGCGACGTTATTCATTTCGCTGACAGAATACAGAAGTCATTTGTCGACTCGCTAAGCGCTAGGCGGACTCGACAATACCTATTACAGGCGCA